AAGAAAGAAAGAAAGAAAGAAAGAAAGAAAGAAAGAAAGAAAGAAAGAAAGAAAGAAAGAGCTAGATTGAGGAAAGATGGCTAAAGGGGAAATATGATACTATTCTTAAAATACTCAAAAGGATGGTAAATAGAATAAAACCTGTTCTCTCTCAGTCCAGTGTGCAGGACCCAGAATAATGGATTCAGGTTGTAGGAAGTCAGATTCTCACTGAATCTTTGACAACACCTCCTAACAAAGCAGTTTGACAATGAGATCGATTATTTTCCAGCTTCTTGCAGAGGTTAGAAATCCATCATTTTGGAATGTTGAATTTGAATGCCTGAAGCGAGCAGGGATTCTTCTCAACGGTCTAAATATCATCCTCTGACTTGGTGATTCTGTGACAGCAGTGGGAAATCCTGGATTTGCAGGATACGCTGGAAGGAGGCAATGCCAAACAATTTCTATACCGTTGCCAAGAAAATACTGCATTTTGCAAAATGCTGTCCCGTGGTTAACTTCTCCCTGCAGCAAAATCAATGCAGGGCCTGGGGGGGGGGCGGTGGGAGGGAGAATTTAATGTTTTTTAAACATTTCTTTTTGGCATGAGGTGCAGGGAGAAGGACGTTTTGCTAGTCTAGGATTGGCACAAGCTGAAGGAATGGAGCAGGGGCTGAACTGGGACTTTTGTGCTGTTTTACTGATCAGCAAGAGGGAGCATTGCTAAAGATCTCTGCCCCTTTCCTGCCCCCCACCAAGGCCTGCAGGAGCAAAAGGGTTCCACCGGCGGGCTCCAAAAGGACTTGGAAAGATGGAGGAGTGGAACTGATGTGGTGTGGAAATACCATAATTCACAGTCTGCACTGGGGAAACCAAATCTAGACGGCGAGACGATTAGCAGGCATCCTCTCTTGGAAGAACCTCCGCTAAGAAGAACATTACAATGACACAGCAGATACCTGCCTACCTCCCATCTACTGATTGAAAGTCACTCGGGTCAGATCAGTAAATCATCCAGAGATGCAGCAGACACCTTCCTCAACGGCCAAACACTTTGCTGGGCTCGTAAAGGCTTTTATCATAATCCTGCGTGCTTTAATGGATAGCCTGCCTGATCTGCTCCTTTACTTAGTCACAGCACGCACGGGTGGGGTAGTTCTGATGAAAATAGATGGCGATGAGATGGAGGGGAAGAGAGAAAGAACTGGAAAAAAAAACCCTATCGGTGCCAAGTAGGGAAAATACAGGTTTACTATTAAGCTTGGGTTTTTTTCCCCTGTAAAAATTCAGGAGGGGTCTGGTAGCACCTTTTCTGACTAACACAGTTTAGAAGGCATAAAGGCGTGTGGTACGCCGCCCAGAGTCACTTTTTGTGAGTTAGGCGGCTATATAAATATGATCAATCAATAAACAATCAATCAAGAGCTTCTGCCTTTCAATCAAATGGGTTAGTCAGAAAAGGCGCTACCGGACCACACCCCTGATTTTTGGCCATCGTAGACTAACGTAGTTCTCTTGCTACAATGAGAAGCGTCAAGTTCTTCCTGTAAATCCACTTTTTCGGGGGCCAAAGATTTGTTCTGAGTAAGAACATAAGAACATAAGCCGTGCCCTGCTGGATGGGACCCCTGGCCCATCTAGTCCAGCAGCCTGTTCTCCCAGTGGGCCACCAAGTGGGCCAGCAGGTGGCCTTCAGAGGCTGCCCGATTCCCATCAAGGCTGGGAGCCACGGATCCCCAGGACTTCCACGAACTGGTCCAATCCTTTCTTTGAAGCCAGCCAAGCGGGTAGCCAGCCCCCCATCTTGTGGTGGTGAATTCCAAAGTAGAATTACTCATTGTGTAAAAAAATAGATCAGGAACCCTCTTTCATGGCATTGGCCACTCCCTACAAACAGCTTAACCTATCTGGGTAAATCCTTACAATACAGAGGTTGTGCCAGTACTAAGACTTATCCTTGTTCTCTCAAATAACACAGTTTTTCTAAGGTGGTTCGGCATAATTAGGCACAAACCAACCACGCAGGCTGAATGTGCGTAAGCAATGATATGCAATAGACCTTAATTTGGAGCAGGTTTGTTTGGCAATGTAAGCCCTTCTTTGCAGCCTAGATCATGGGAAACCTGCAGCTACGGGAATGTAAATCGGAATAAGTAATCCAGCCAGGGCTTTGGAGTTAGTTCTTCACCCTGAAAGAAGGGAAGTCGTCTTCCAAGAAAAGAAAAGAAAAGATTCCTGAGCATGTGCAGAATGCATCTCACTCAGCCGAGAGCAAAAAGAGAGGAGCAGTTCTGCAGGTTGGCTCAGAGTTTCAAATAACTAGGAATTTTATTTTGGAGAGCAGGCAGTCCATAAATACACCAGGAGAGAAATGCCCCCGTCTACATCTAATATTGAGCATCAACACAGCAGCAGGCAGCACGGAGCTGATCTTCGCATCCTGAAACAGCTGGACAGGTTCAGACTCAGGTCCTACCTGGATGGGAGACCACTAGGAAATCACAGGGTTGTAGGCTAGAACTGGAAAAATCTCCCAGAACAAGGCAAACCGCTTCGCTTCGGCATAAACCTGGCAGCGTCATCAAGGAGCTGAGTTCAGCTGCAGGCGGTCTTCACTCGCTCCCTCTCTTTCGGTCGGTACTTAGAGATACCCTGCTTCTGGACAGGGAGGCTCAGTTCAGGGACCGGTCGAGAAGAAACAACTGGAGACCGCATCGCTCCGCCGCTCTCCCTCTCCCAGTCCGCCTTAAACCCGGCAAGCCGCTCCCTTACCTGGGCGGGAGCGCGCCACCCCCGCGAGCCCGGCGGGACCGACTCCGGAGCAAGCGTGCGTCGGAAGGGTGCTGCGCGGGCGCCCCGGGGACGACCCCTCGCTCCATCTCGAGGCAGCGGCTCGGAAACAAGAGGGAAAAGGGAGGCGCCCCGCTGGCTCCTCTCTGCCCGCGGGCGCACGAGACCGCGCCTTCGCAGGGGAGCGCCCCGCTCGCCCCGACGCCGGCTTTGCTCCTCCTCCGTGGCAAACCCCGGGCGGCGGCGGCGCGGCGGCGGCGGATCTTCGTGGCTGGTGCAGCTCGAGGGCGCCAGGCGCTGCGACAGCCGAAGCCGGACCGCAGGGAACACCTCCTGCGCCCTTGGAAACAGGCCGTTTGCCCGGCTTGTCTGTCTACCGACCAACCTGCCGACCTCTCTCCTTTCTCCTTTCTCTTACGTGCAGATCTGTCTATAGCACTCTCACTTCTTATCCTTCCATC